AAACGTCATGGACTGCTCATGGATCAATTTCCACCCCGGCCAATAGGTTGGGATTTCGATAGTAGTACAAACGAAAACGATCATCATGATGGCGATGAGGGAAATTCGAGTGGCAACGATGAAGGAGGAGGAACAGAGGGAACAAGAGGAGGACAAGACAGAGACCAAGACAGCAGTCGAGAAGGGAATCATGGCGTGGAAGAGAGCAAGAGCTTCGAGCCAGAGGACCTCCCGCACAACAAAAGACGGAGAGACAGACAAGAAGAGCTGCCAAAAAGTTGCTGCCAAAATGACGATGAGAATAGTGATGGTAGTAGTGGTGAAAGCAAGAAGAATGATAGAGAGAGCACTCCTAAACGAAGTCGAGTGCAGGGTGACAGTCTTAATAGACACGTGCAGTTTTCTTCTGTTATTACTACGGTATCTGTCTTTAATCCTGAGAATAGCGTAGCTCCCCCTACGACGCTCGGTCCCGGGGTCCCAGATAGTGGACTATAGAAGCATTTTGTGTTTCGCGCCGCACTGAGACTGACGTCTTTTCATTGGTCAGCCGGTTAGCGCGGTCGATACTAATAATAAAAGCACCCACACACATGGACATCAATTTGAGAACAGTAACTAATTCAGGGGTCGGGCTGACAGGCGGTGTTATTCAACGTGCGCAGAACCCAGGCGGGGAAACAAAAGGACCCATCTAAAACAGTTTTTTTGCGAAAAAAAAAACTCCGCTATCGCTCCGTTTTTATTTTCGCACGCGCGCTTCGCGCGCGGAAAAAACTCCTATAAAAGTCTAGATCTATTTGCCGATGACCTATTTCTCTACAATGGGTTCGTCCAATGGACGTCGTCCGTGGAAACCGTCTCTACATCCTGCCTGATTGTCGGTACAGTCGTCAATAATACACTTCAAAATTGTGCATGATTAATGTATAAACCTAACGACTCGGGAACTTGTCTGAAAACCGGTTCTCATGTAAACATATTGTGGCCAATCCACACACCCGTCCACCAAACTCACTGTATGCCGTCATCACAACCTTCATCAGTTCTCCCCTCGCAAGTACCTCGCGCCTTCTCGCTTATCACGCCTACTAGCTCCTCTGCTGCAGACTACCATTTCCCTCTGCTGGAGCTAGTGCGTGCCTCGGGTGAACCGTCGGCAGCAGCAGTGAATACAATCCAAACGTCTCTCCGTCAGATTTTGGCGCTTTAGGCTACTGGACTGTACTGTAAAAAAAATATCGTGATAAGCGAATCCACGCAATCGTGAGAGCGAGGGATGAATGAGCCTTGATGCTAACAGCCGCCCAAACAGAAGGGTGCACAAATAGCAAAGGGGGAGCGTGCTGTGAGGCCATCATAACTTTCATTTTATCTGCATTCTACGCTCAATTTCACATGAATTTTTTCACTCGTATTCACGTTCATTCAACAGTTTCGATAACCTCTTGTTCGCCAAAATGACTGTGGCTGAAGTGGTTCAGTGAGCGACTCGCAAATGTTCAAACGTGGGTGGACAATCGGTGCAGTCACGTGAACTGGGGATTTTCTCACCACCTGCCCAAACAATCGTGGAAAAATATAGTTTCGTGTGCACGCAAAAATTGACCTGGGAGTCGTGACCAGGGAATGCACGGATGGCCTGAAAAAATCCTTCACGCGATGAAGCCGGAGACCCCAATACCTGCTACGTGGCCTTGCTCCTGTATGACCCGGGCTGTGCCCCGAAACGCGTCAGGATATCTGCGTCCGTAATATGTGGCACGAAAAAAATTACCACTCTTGAGGATTCTCATCGCGACCTTTGGCGTAGTCGGACACGGACGGACGTGGAGTGCTGCCAATCGATTCGGCAAGTTACGCGTCGTGTCACTTACTGCCGACCGCGTATATTGCAGAAGCTATTTCCAGAAAGGCACAGCACCCCAACTGTGAACACAAGAACTAAAACATTGAGACATTATAAAAACAAATATCTCTCCTTCACATCAACATGAGAAAAGGCACGAAAAACACATCCATCACAAGCAAGGTATATCCAACAAGACAATGTCTACGGCGCACAAACGCTGCTGCTGCTGCAGCTGGCGCTCTCCCCAGTACGTACGAACCTTCACTGCCCTGTCCTCCACTACCCGACGCATGACACACATGTTGAGGTGCATGCACTCGACGGCTTCCTGTGTGCGGACTGGCTGGCACCAGGAGGGGGAAGCACCGCAAGCGCGGCCAAAACCCAGAATAAATGCATTGCGAAACCTACACACACCAGACAGGTACATGTCCCCGTCGTGGGAATCATGTTTGCGGCGTGCATGGCGCTCCCAAAACCGTCACGCAGGACATTTTTGGACCCGCATCGCCGACGTTACTCCCGGTGTGCGCTTCCGCAAACAAAAGGCGCAGAAAACAGAGGACGAATGGGCGAGTTTCCGACGTGCCTTCCTCAACCAGCCTTCGTAATCTTGGCCTTCAAGCAACAATGACGGCCTGCAAGCAAGAATGACGGCAAAGCCTTTGTTGCGTTGTCCACACCGGGAAAAAGGTGAAAAATGCAACGATTGCGGACATTTCCCGTCCCGCCCACAATCAACCGCAGGCATCATGGCAGTCACCCACCCTCTAGCAACCATGGCGCCCAGCGTTAAACTGGCACACACACGCACACCGAGGCCCCGGTGTTTTGATGTTGGCGTCTCGCCCGCGACATGAAAAACGCTGCATTCTACCGCCCGTGGCTCCTCGACCAATGGCTCTGCTGTCACAATAAAAGAACACGTATCATGCACATATTACTGGTGTCCTAGCAAAAACACGAACAAATACCGCCCCGAACACCTGCAGCCTTCAACGCCTTGTGGCAAAGCGGCGCCGATGCCGCCAAACCACGTGTTCCCGCTGTTTCCCTGTCAGACACGACTTCTAACCTACCACGTAATACTTTTCCTAGGCTAGCAAGGAAGAGACACACGCACAGTCACGCTGGGGCGGAAAAAAGCGCGACATAAAAACTAAGTACATTGTTTCCGTCAGAGACACCAGCACACACGCATGTTCGTACTCGTACCCCCGTCGATCGGGAAGATACACGTGCGTGCGTGCGACGGACTTACGCGCGGGGCCGCGTGGTTCGCGACCCCTTGTGCCCTCCGCCCCTCCCCTCTACCATTCCGCTCGACTTTAGCTGCCCCACCACCGTGGAGCCTAGAGGCTCTTATCCCCTCTCCCATGACCAAATTTGCTCAAGGTACGTATCTTACTTCAGTACGATTTGAGTTTTACCATAGGATACGTCTGCTGGGAAAAACGACGTCAGTTAAAAAAAGGAGGCACGAGAGAAGTACGGTCTTACAACCTCCACTCCCCCGAAACGAGACGCGGTTGATACCCGACACACAAAAAAAACATGCGTACACAGACCTAAATGCACATGTACATACACCTACAATCCGTGCCCGCTCGTGCATGTGTACAGTCGTGTTCACTTCATCAGCAAGGCATTCCCCATGGGAAGCGAATCGCATGCCGCACAGATAGACACGGTCGGGGAGAGGTCAATCGAGGGGGGCACAAGCACAAAAAAAAATCAGTACCAAGCGATGCATCGCTGCAAAGAGGGAGTGGAGGTGCCACGCTCTGTGTCGCTGCTTGTGGTGAAAACACGAAAAAGAGAAAATGCAAAAACACGCTGGGTTGCTCCCGGCATACATCAAATCGTTTCAAAAACGTATGGCAAATACTGAGCGGAAAAAAAGGCACGTCTTTAGGTCCCGCTTTCTCCACGACTTGTCGCTTAATCGCCACGTGACCGTCGGGCACACAGCGAGCGAGACGGATAGATGGAAATATCGCCCTGCCCTTTGGCTGTATGGAGGGGTTTCGACTACAATCTATCCGCCACAACCTGCGGAAGCTGAACAAACGATCAGCTGGGTCGAGGTCGCCGACGATACCGTGACGGATAAAACAGGTGGGGATCCACGCCTCTGGGCAACAGATCGCCCGACCTGATCCATCTCCCCATACCACAACCCCTTCACGGCGGCGTACACGGAGATACAAAGCACGTCCTTGGCCAAGAAACAGAGTTTTTTTTGACAGACGACCCCCGCCGTGCCACCCTACCCCCCCACGAATACGGACTCCTGCATATGCCGTCGCCCCCCTTCCTTCGGAAGGAAAAACGCTACAACACTCAGGAAGGGGCCGTCGGTGCGCTGGCGGTAGGGCGGTCTTCGCCCAAAACAAACATCGCACAGGGTCAGCTGCAGCGGCAGATGGCAGCACTCAAACAACCTACAGCCGCTCCAAGAAATAAAACATCAACACGACAAGCAGTCGCCCGCAAACACGGACGGCCGCATGAGACACACCACCAAAAGCCGTTATAAACTAAAACTCATCGCAGATTCGAACCAACACAGAACACCTCGAGACCCCACATGAAAAAAACAAGCACGACATCACCACTCTCTATCGCCTCCCTTCATTCCCCTCCCCTATGTTGCGAGGCCCCCAGCTGAGAGCCGCCCGACCGATACCCGGACGTGTTGTTCGACGATGAAGTCGCCCTCGCCGTGGTAATCCCGCTGCCACTGCCGCTACCGCCGCCGGCGTTGTAAGTGTTGCCGTTCTCCAGGAGGGCGGCGATCTTGGCGAGGTGAATCTCCAGGGAGCTCATCCTCGCCTCCAGGCGGGCGGCCCGGTCATCCGCCATCTTACCCGATTCCCGGAACGACTCCCGGAAGCTGTTGGCGGTCGTGAGGGTGATGTCGTCGCGGAGCTGCTTGACATGCTCTACGGTCGTGCCCATCTTGGCGTCTCGAGGCAGAACCTGTGAGGTGTGGGCTGTCTGCGGTTAGTTTTGGCATCGAACGCGCCACAGCTGGCCAATGAGGTCATGAATCGGATTCATTCGTACTACAGGGATGGAAAAAACAAAACGCGAAAAGTATTTCGGGTTATCGAGGGGCAGCAACACCAGCAGCAGCAGCAGCAGCAGCAACTCTTCCACCCCCAGACCAACAACCGGACCAACGACGTGCCTGTGAATCCTTCAGCGGGTTCTTAAGCTGCCGCCGGAGGTCATCCACCCCGATGTTGGCAAGCCTCTTCAGCAGACCCGCGAGGTCGTAGTCTCCCCCCCTCTGGAGCTTGTCCTTGCGACAGTTCCTCGAGGAATGCTTTCCGAGACCGCTGGTGCCGTCGGAGCTCCCGTCCTACAAATGAACAAACAGCCAGGAACAGCAACAACAACAAATGAAACACGGTCGGGAGCGGCGCGTGATGATTATTCGACGGCAAGGGAAAAACCTTGCACAAGAAAATCAACCAAGATCCAGTGCGAAATGTTCTCGCAATGCAGATCCAAGCAACAAGGGTTCTCACACGTAACGAGATATGCAACAATATTTTGGCTGCCTACAACGAACCTAGGAGGCGGCGGGGAGTTGGGAAAGAAAAGCCGCCTAGCAGGAAACAGAACACCGCTCAACGGAATGGGCAGAAACAAAACACTACACATTCACAGAACTCAAGGAAGCACAAAGAGTTCTAGGCTACGAAACGCACTACTTCACACCACACCGCAAAAGAAAAAAATGGTTGGGTCATCAACAACATTGCTAGGTAGTTGATCGTAAATCTGTGCAAAAGACGAACATGCTGTGCCTTCGCAAGAAGAAAAGGGGAACAAGAGGACTCACCCCAACGAATATGGTGAGCAATCCAAGGAAGAGCGCGATCATCACGAGCCCGGGGGCGGTGATGACGTACTTGAGGCGCTCTGACTTACGGTCCACTTCTTTCGAAGCCTGCGTGTTGATAAGGACGATAGCGTTGTAGTTAGCCAGCCGTCAGTCACTGAACAGTACGCATAGCGTTGAACAAAAAAAAAAAAAACGCCACTGTTCCTGCTTCCCATTCCTGTCTGTACAGAGAGCCCATAAAACACAAGTCGCCTCAATTATTGAACGAAAAATACCACTTATGATGATGAAACCAAGCAGAACATTAGAGCACCCTATTAATACCTTGACAACGACACCTGAACCTTCTCCTGCCGCACAACCGCATCGCCCGACGTACAGCTGCCGCTAACAACGGAACGCAGGTTGAAAGCAACACCTCAACCTCCCCTTTCCACGCACCCGCCCAACGTACAACAGCACCGCACCTGCCCCCCAAACAAAAGGTGCCAGATGCTCCACGGGATGGACACAAACCACATGGCGATCGCGAGGGCTGCCCCAAGAGGCCCCATCACCAGCCAGAACAGGAAGCAGCCGATGCGCATCATGAGCAGGGGGTACTTGCTCTTGGGTACGCAGGGCTTGAGGAGCACGCAGGTGGCGAGGTGGACTAGGTTGAGCGGCGACGGTAGGACGTCGTGCTCGACGACACGGTTCCAATGCTGGACAATCTGGGTGCGGGTGAAGTGGAACTGCGGGTGTGCGGGCGTGCCGGGCAATGGCGAGAACGAGCACGAGAACGAGAATGAGGATAAAGGAAGACGAGAGGAAGGCAGACGAAGCAACAACAACAACAACAACAACAACAACAACAACAACAACAACGATAACGACAGCGAAAACAACATCATCGCTGGTTCCACCAGCTACAAGCAGGAGAGGGCGGAGGAGGAGGGAGAGGGAGCAAACCCACCTTCGCCTTGGCCTGGCTACGGACTTCCGAGTGCGCTCCCGTAAGGAAGGCGATGAGGAGGTTCAGAAGCACGATTCCCATCACGGTCAGGAACGCCACCATCAGTCCAACTCCAGCCGAGCCGTATCTGTTGCGAGAGGCGACGCGGGGGCCGGGAACGGGTTGCTACTTAATTCCTCATGACGCGAAAAAAAAAAGTTTTATAATTGTGATGCCGGGGTCCTCCCGAAAAAAAAAAATTACGAATTGTGTGAGAACTTTGAACAACAAGGCACCCCCCAACATATGCTTTTCCTGGGTCCTTCATGCCGCCCCAAAAAGATACCCTTCCCAGCCTCAAATATATTTTTTCGAATTTCACCACCAATCAGACCATACCGCGAGAATCTTGGTCTCAAACAACGGTACACTAGTCCTCCCGCAAATGGGCTTGTTTCAACTATTGTAGTTGCCCCGCACCTGACGCCGGCGAACTCGTTGAAGTCGAAATCTCCGAACATGGCGCGGAACATGGTCAGCGCCGACTCCGGAAAGGTGGAGAAGGACGGGAGGTAGATCTCGGAGATGTCGAACGACATCGGGTCCAGGGTGGCGGAGTCGTCGCCGCTGCTCGTCAGGAGACCGCTGCTCAAACCCCAACAAAAAGCAAAATGCGATGGCGATGCCACATGATCGTCAGCACAGACAAGTGACAGAGCAAATAAGGTCACCACAAAAGGAGGTTTAGGATTTCGCGTGAAAGCGATGAGAGAGAGCATCTCTCGAGTGGTGGGTAGGACGGCTCGACGGCGTCTTGGTTGAATCGAATCGAAACTCTCAACAGCATGTGGGTGGTTCTCTCTCTCCAGTGCTTCTGCTTCGTGCCTGTCTAGCTGCCCCCTACCTCTCCGGCTGCGGCTGCGGGAAGTGACCGCGAGTTCCTCTATGTACATCGCAACACACCAAGACCCGCTACCAACCAACAACGTGATAGGGGGATCAAGACGGAGATGCCAGGCTCCCAACACCAACAACAGCAGCAGCAGCAGCAGCAGCAGCAGCAGCAGCAGCAGCGACACAACAACAACATCCTCAACCACACGAGCCACCCAGCGGTGAAACCACACCATGAACCCCGGAGCC